AAGTTCCGGAATTTTCACCAGAAAATCTGAGTGGTAATTGTCAAAAATTTTTACCTGAAGGTTATGCAATTTTCACTGAGACTTTCTGAGAAAATACTTACATTGCAACTAGGCTACTGGATTACTATTCTTTGGGGCAATTTAAAAAATGAATTTTTCATAATGTGGAGTAGGAACAGGATCTTGAAATGGCGATATTCTCGAAAGAGCCCAAATTATCGGTTACGAAACGTATCCTGCCGACTGAGCTCCGAAATAGGGTATAATTTTGATGAAACTAGGACGTCTCCGTCAGCGAATTTCTCATTTGAATTAACGAAATTCGTCTCGAGGTGGTGGTGAAGTTGATGCTGAGATTTTCGAGTGTCTGAATGATTGACGTAATTACGGGGCAATAGTTCATGGTGGTATTTACCTTGAACTTTTTCGGGATTGCCGGCGGGGGATTATTTCTAGTTTGAGGTTGATAAGAGACAACTTTTGATATATCGATAAATCTGGGACTGGGCAATCTCTGAGGAGAATGGAATAGGAGAGAGTAAAAAAAATGGAATAGGAAAGTCGGTGCAAGATGAACGAGCTCCTGTGAAATTGAAGAGACTATCCTGACGCCAATAGATTTATGAGGTGTCCGAGTCGTTCTTCCTAGGAGTTTTTGGATGTGTTGATGAAAATTACGAGGCACAGAACGATGGGTGAACAGTACTAAACGAGGATATAACGATTTGATGATGATGTAGTCACGGCAGATAAATATCGAGATGAATAATAATCGTTCGATCTTTGTCGCGTGAAGATTTAAAAGGGAAATCCACCTCTTTCCTCGAGTTTTTGAAAAAATCTATGAATCTAAGAGAGATATCGAAAATTTTCTAAGGACATCTTTCGTAGAGTGAAATGAGAGCTACAAAAAAGGTTTCTACGAAAATTTCTTTATTCTCTTCAGAATTAAAGATACAGCTCGAAAATTCATTTATTGTTGACTATTTGGAGCCCTTTGCCCTTCACTTTTTTGTCACTAAATTATTATTGCGCTGACAAACAAATAACTTTAACAAACGAGATTCAATTGATACGTGAAAATGGTTGTTTTTCAATGTTGATAAATTCAATTGGCATAAATAATTTTGTTTTTGGCGTTAAATCGAAATCTTAGTTTAATTCATATGAATATTTATGCTTCAGTAATCTCCGTCCTTTTTTATGCAATGAATCAGTTTTCGGGATTATTAATTAGTCAATTAGTAGATGTTGCAACGAAATGGGCTATCTAATAGTATCGAATGGTGTGGGATGTACCTACGTGCGACAATTCCCCAGGGTGCAATGTTGTTGTTGCATGCAACATGCGTACCGAGGAAAATTTTCCATTGATAAAAATATTCTGCTCAAATTACGCTACATGCTCTGATTTCAAAAATGTTTATTCTCATCGTTAAAATGTTGGATCTATTGGATTTACGCTAGAGAATTTTGGTTATAAATATAATGAAGTAAACAATAAAAATGAATAAATAATTAAATCTACATTAATATATTGAATATATTAATTTATGCTTTTACATACATAATTATATTGAGTTTAGTTGATAAAATTGAATTTTCAAAAAAGTAAATTTAATAAAAATGTTATTTGCACTTTTGAACAATATTTTTATATTTATGAATTATTATTCTCTTGCAAAAATCGGTATCAATAGCTGAACTATGCGGCGATAAATGGTGAAAATTTTCGTTAAGTCTGAGTATTTTTAAAAGGATATTATGAATTTTTATGCGTTTTCATTTCGTTTTGTTTATTAAACAAAAAATATTCTCTTTATTTTTCAACTCAAATTAATCTATAGACGAATGAACTTATTCATGCTGAATTTCACCTGAAGAATAATGAAAAAAACATAGGCTCTAATGAATAGAATATTCATACGAGTTGGCTTATCAACTCCATGCAGAGTTTCCTTCCAATTAATAATTAAATCCGAGGAATGGAGAAATCACGTTGAGAAAATTATTCGTACCCCACTTCATCCTCTTTCGGTATTAATGGACCTTTGATGGATTCACTATCTAATGTTTTCACCTAATTTTCACAATGAGCATACTCATCCCCATTTTAAAACACCGATAATTGAACCAATCAAATATTCATTAAATTATTCCAATATTGCAAAAAAAAAAAATGTGATTTTCATTACGCAAAGTTTTTGAGCTCTAATGAATCCATTTATTTCCACTCTCATCAAAAAATGAAAATGCAATGTGATGAGCATTGCACGGTGTATCGAGCAACAGACATCCGCAAATTTATCGACAATTAAACATTGAATTCCGATAAAAATCCAATTATCAATGTAAATATAATCAACCGAACATTATTTCACCGTGTATGGAAGCAGTAGCCAAAGGCCACCTTCGAGAGTTACGATTCATTAGTTCCATTCTATAAAACGTGTGGACTGAATTCATTCATTTCAACAAATGATTGAGGAAACTCGGTATTAAATTCAATAACGACGATGAACAATATTACATATATAATATCACAATAACATGATATACGTTTGGATGATGGGTGGGTGGGAAGGCGTTGAACAATTAATTCACGTGGTGGATGATAACGGACCGGGCTAATTTTAATTGTCCCGTCAGGATGATATCGGGATTAATTACTTCCCCCTTGGATTCATTAAGTGGTGGGGAAAGGAGGGATGGGGTTTGAGGAGGTGGAATGGTGGTGGTGGTTTGTGTGCGCCAGCGCAAGTGCCTGATTTACTTTGCAAAGTGCATCATACCGAATGACTCGGGGATTTGAGGCTTCTCATGTGACAACATACTAGTACATAACGATAACCAGGGGGAGGGTGGTAAGGGGGAGGGGGGAGGGGGGGGGGCAAGAGATATTGGTATGCCAAAGTAAGTCGTCAAGGCTAATTGTCGTCTCGGTTGGATTTCCCACTGCATCGACAACAGTCACGTTGTGGCACTGGGATGCATGATGCAGTACTCCTTAGTACTACCAGTACTTGCTCTATTTGCACAAGAAGCGTAATTAAGTCCAGGGGACTATTCTCAATTGAGTTTGCAAATGCTGGGGATTGGTTTATGGGGAAGGACTGGGTCAGACGGTTAGTGCAGGTTATTTTGCATTTTACTCGTACGCCAGGGGTTTGGAACAGCGAGATTTGTACTTTTTATTTATTTACTTTTTTTTTTGTTTTTATTATTTTTTTAGGTCTTTTTTTGGTTTTGCATGTCGGGTGGAGGCAGCTCGGTAGGGATTGAAAATTCGGATAGACATGCTCGGGGATGGTGGACATGCAATGAAATACGGGGATTTCTATAGGGCGTTGGGGAAAAATTGGAATTTCGGGGAGAGGGTTTTTTGGTGATCGCGGGAAAAGTGGATGCTTTAATTAAGTGTTTTATATTTAATTCAAGTATATACGTTATTGTTGTAGTAAGGAGAAACTGTAGCTTTAAGGATGTAACTTTCCGTAAACATTCATTTATTTTCAAAATTTCATGGTTGTGCAATAATTTCCCGTTTTTTTTCCAAACTTCTAAAAAATTTATAAAATTTTGCGAAAAACACGGGAAAATTGGGGCCCACTCTTGGAGTCATGGTGTCACTCGAACTATTCGGCATTCTTTAATCATTTTATTTATTTGTTTAAAATATGGGTTTGAAGTTTGAACAGAAGAACTCTCACTTTTGCAAAGAAATATTCACGCGATTATTATGATTTCATTAGAAAATTCAGTGGACTCGATGAATTTTCGCTGTAGTGGAAATTTCAGGGTAGAGATGAATTTGTTTTCCTGTTCTTATCGAACATCCGCTGTAATATTAATCGTTAAGCGGGCCATCAAGAGGGAACACATTGGTGGTAAAATAGAAATTGTTGAAATTGCCCCGAGTAAGTGTGGTAGTATCCGAAGTTTATTCAAAGGTCTCGTTTGTCGGGAAAATATTTGCTCTATCGAACTTTGTCAGAGTCCTGTTTGAACTCGTGCAGCAACTTGAGTACCCTCCAAGACAAATCTTTACCGAACTTTTGGTCTTGCTATTTCGAATTTGTCCTTTTTTTTTTTTATTTCTCTTCCCCCATTCCAAATAGTTTACAACTGCCTCTGGTATACGAATTTTTCACTCATGGCATTCTGTCTGCCGGCTGTTTTTTTCCGATCAGCAGTATTTTTGCATACCAAATTGTATAACGAATTCATGACACCAATCACGTTCTCTCATTTATCTATTTTCATTTTTTCTCTTATTCTCGTTATTTTCTGTTATTTTCATCGATACAAATGCTATTGCGAGTTGATTCAATTTCGAAATTCGACGATTGTTATCGGGTATTTTTATTCGAAAAACGTGTAGACTCAACATTTACGTTTTGTAATATCATTCGGCATCCGCAAAAGCTCGATTAAAAGTTCAAGTTCGATATCACGTACCCACAACGGGGATTTACGATAACGTCCAGGTAAAGTTTTACCCGGATATTTGGAGGCTCTCGTTCGCTAACAGGCTATTTTCGTGAAAAAAAAAAAGCGAGGAATTAAAAGGGATCAAAAAAAGGGGAGTTTGAAAAATGTTGTTGAAAATTATTCGTAAATCCCTAAATCGATATGTGGTAAATCAGTCGAAAGTTTAATTCAATCGTAGATTCTCCATTTTTTTATATCACATTTATATTTATGGCAGCATCAGGGGTGAATACCCGTGAAATCAGAAAGGTAAATTAGCCTGTCTTTATAACCTTTAGTAAAGTCAATGAATTTTTATTAGAATAATGAAAGGAAATTTGATATTCACTCCGTTCATGGCCAATGGAAAATTTTCAATAACGAAATCTCTTGGAATTTCACGGTTTCATGAAATTTTTAAATTGAATGACCACCTCCAGTAGTCGTTATCTTGATAAGTTCAGGTCTTTAAAATAATTATTCAGAATGAATGAATCTCTGTTGATAAATGGAAAATTTCCTGGAATTACCAGCTAGCAAATCAATCCTCGTTCTTCCCCTGTCGCTGTCCTCGATCCCTTGGAGATCATCACTATCATCATCAAATTCCTCCCTTTGATACTCCTTCTTATCCCTCACCTCAGTCTCTTCTAAGGTCGAGGGTAAATCGTTCTGTCGTCTTGTTGCTTGACGAACATTAGCACGATGGTGATTTGACGAGAATAGAACGGAGGGGGGTGGAGGTGTTGACAGCTGAGTAGCTTGGAGACGACGTCTTAGGTACCTAGCAAGCAGGGTCTGAACTGCGTCTGCCTCTTGATTTATGCCTAGAAGATGACAAGATTGACGGGTCATTCTTGCGTCGAATTGACATGTATTTTCTCATCGCCTGCATATGTCCATTTACATTTTCTCACTTCCTCATCATTCTTATATATTTTTTTCATAATTTTTATTCCAGTGAATATCTAGAATAAGAATGCGATCTAGGTGTCCCGGGACAAACATTTTCCCGGAACAATCCAGCAGCGGTGAACCGTAATAAGTCACTAACTTTCTCGGTGATATCTCTGAAACTATAACAGATAGTGAATTTCTTGAAATAACCTTTTTTTTAACTTGTAATTAGCTCGACAAAAAAGGTCATTACAATAATTTCACTAGCTCCCTTGGATTTCGAGATGCTCATTGAAAATTGGCCACTCGTCAAAATCGAATTAACGGTTCAACGCTTCCCTCCTGGATTCTCATTCAGTAATGCACAGACATGAATTTGTAGTTAACTTTACTTTGACGTTCAATAATTTTGCAACTATTTTTGTTACTGAAAAACTTCTTCTAACTAAAAAAATTGACACAACACAGGAAAATATCTGGGACCTCTATTTTTTCTCTCAATATATTGAACTCTTTGCATTGTTGTTCCAGAAAAATTTCTGTAGGCAAAATTGTTTTTAATCCGGATAAATGCAAGATTTTCAACAGATTTTGATATTATTGAATGTAATCGTTAATCATGGACATGGTGTGAAAAAATAAATAATATGTAAACAATGAAGAATACATTGTCATGGACGAATGGTGGCCGTCTCTCTGGAGATCTTCTGGTGAAAAATGGATGGGATTAGGTTGAATATTCACATTTATGAGGTGCGGAAAGTGTATGACATACGGGGATGTTGGTCAGTGGTTGTATTGGAGTTTAGTACACATGGGTGAAGGTATTGGGGGAAATGATGCATCCTCTCGTGTCGATCGTTTTCGACACGTTGGAGGAGTGAGTTTGCGGCGATTGCGTTAGACGTTGAGGATCGCTCGAGGGCTGTTAACGTCGCAGTACGTCAATGTCCATTATTGTTGGTCGATGCGACGTTGAGTACAGTGTTTACGGACGTTGTTGCTCTCAAGTATACTGTCTAATCAATCAAATGAGGATGAGGTGAATTTATCGTTAAAACTACACTTGGAGAATGAAGAATAGGTTAAATTACAATGATATAAAAAAATTTTACCAACGCATTGAATGATTCACGGGGAATTACGTGAGGGTTTTGGAATTTTCTGGGAAATTCTTTCGCCGAGCTTTGCACGGCATTTCATCCGAATTTTCTTTTTTTTTTTTTTTATTTTCTCTTCGCCCAGGGAAGTTTAGGTGATCCATGGAAGTCCTACAAAGAATTTTTCTGTTAAGCTGAATTAATTAAGTTAATACGAAATTTTTTGTATTGACTGGTAATTTGAGGGGGTTGACTAAATATCTGGAGCAGGATGTATGAAAATCAATTAAATGGGATAAAATACCACGATGGGGAATATATAAAATAATAAATGCCTATAGTATTTGGAAGACAAGCAAAGTAAATTAGGGAGGAATGAAAAAAAAAATTAGGTGCGATGGTTGTAACATTGGCTGGTAGAAGCGGCTTTGAAACAAAAAAAAATTCTAATTTTGTCTTGAAGGGATTAATTCATTTAATTCTTATTTATTTATTGATCAATAAATCACAATTCAAATCACAACTCAACATTGTAGCCACAGGATAATATTTTTATTATTAACGGATAGTTATAAACTTGCAAGTGCTACGCCCATCTGCACTCACCGTTCTCATATTTAATGCTATTATGATGATAAACGGGGTAATCGTTAAAACTCCGTATAAAAGAATAATGAGGTTTATGGAATAACAAATTTGCCCATTCTCACAATAGTAGGGATTTTCTATATGCCAAGTTTTCATATTCACAGTCATTACTTTAGAATTTCAATTAAGTTATGTATTTAATTGCAATGATGAAAAATTACAAATGAATTTTAACTTTTTTCACTGAAATAATTTTATTTCTCAGTGCATCACAGAAATACTGGGGGCGAATAAAAAAATAATATAAAATATAATAAATTAATTTTAAAAATCTAAATTTGCAACACAAAAATGATATCATATTCAGACCTTTTTAGTATATTGTTTGTTTAGCATTGTTATTATGGTATTTTCATATATTTTCAATGACGAAATTACTTGGAATTTGAGTGTTATTTGAGAACGATAAAATTTTGGCGGTCATAACTGTGAATTTTTTGGCAATTTCCATATATAGTTGATTTTATCATGGAAATTTTTCTCAATATAGCGATAGGGACTGATGAAAGTGTGGGGAAATGTAAACACGGGTATTTTTTATATCAGGAAGATCATTTATCTCCATATTCGGGGGGAAAGAATGCGTGGAAACGTTGTGGTATGTGGAATCGAGTTGCTATTGAGGAGGTGAATTTGAAAGTTTTGGAGCGAGATGGGATTGTGGCTCTTTTCCAGTCGTTGCGGGTTTATATGAGTGTCGGAATACCTCCGGGAATTCCAATGCAACTTGATTTTCAACATTGTACGAGGATACGAGGCGTTGGCATACATCGAGATCTACCTGGTCTTGTGGAATCTCTTTACGGGGGAAAACAAGTTGGAAAACTCGTGTTGTCTCACTGTTTTGGTTGGCCTTTCTCAACTTCTTTTTTCTTTTTATTTTTTTCCTCTCGTAGAATCTTGGAGGATTGAGCAATTCTTCGGGTGTAAACATCTCAGTCTGGTGGATTTTTTGTTTTTTAATGCACATTATTTATTCAGAAATTTTTCATGGAACGGATATTCACATGAATGTATTCTGAAATGGTGTCTGGGTTTGCTGTTCGATTACTTTTTCATCTTTGGTTTTTTTTTGAATTTTTCAAAATTCCACTATTGGAAAGAATTCTAATTTAATTTTTCAATTTTTATGGGGGTGGAAAATGCTAATTTCGTATGGATTTCCTATTGATTTTCTTTGGAATTTCGGGTGGATTTTGTACTAAGTTGCCATATTTTCATTAAATATTCAGAGTCTGTTGATGGATTATTATTTTACTGCTGTACCATAAGTTGGAACGAGACTGAAATGCGCGCTGCATGTACAGTATTCAAATCTCCCGCCTTCATCATTAACATATGACGAGTGTACTGTTTAATGAATCCGTCTTTAGCATTTTCGAGATATTTCGACTCGCTGAAACTTCATTAAAATTTTTTTACTTCAATAAATAGGATCTCAGAATTTTTTATCCCTAAATTGAGCGTAACAAAAAATTTGTCGTCATTATTGATAATATTTTATGGGGATTTTTATGAAAAATTTCGGAATTTGTGTAACAAGTTCATATCATTACACCGAAAATTAACGGGAAATTAAAAATTTGTTTGAAAAAAGAAGTTTTGAGACTAAAAAATAGAATATTAAAACAGAATTAGAAATAAATTTTCTCGACCAAAAAAAAAACACATTTTCTGTATATGCCCATATAATAGTAATTAAATTACTTTCTTTAATTGCGCACAAAGGTATGCATTCCCGAATTAATTAATGGGATTAATGAGAGACTTTGAACTCCCGTGGATGTGGAGCGATGAATTTATATCAGTGACAATTTCATGCATCAAGGGGTTTTTCACAAAGCGTAGAAATGAGTGAAAAAAAAAAATAAAGGGGAAAAGATGGAAACGATGGGGACAAAAATTCAGGTGAGTCCTTTGAAGCGCGATAAATTTGCAAAATTATGCGGTAGACGATTATGCGAATTCGTTGGCGCACAGCCGGACGTACACCGGAGAGTTCATGTCTCCGTTTCTACTTCTCATTTTTTAATGAAAAAAAAATTTTATTCCTGTGTAATCCTTCCGCAAGAAGACACGAAACTTTCATCAGTTTCGTATGACCTTTTTTTTTCGGTATGGCATATAAAATAAATATGGATATTCGCGTGGAATTCTGGAATCCGGTGTCAAATCGGTGAAATCGTCGCGGACTTTATCGCGCAAGTTAATTATTTTGCCTCGAGGTAAATTCCCTTGAGAGTTAATTAGAATCGCTGTCCTTTTAGGGGATTCTTTTGGAGCTTTTATGAGACCTGGGTGACAGCATCTCGTGTTTCAATGCCTCTTTGGAAAGTTTCTTTGCTCATTGTATGCAAATACTACGATCTATTATTTCAGTTGAAATATAAATCTTTTCAACTTACCAATTCGTCAGGTAATTTTCATTTTTCGTTCATTGAAATTCTACAGATGAAAGACGTTGACTCTATAATATGCGATTTAAAAAATAAATTATGACTTTGAAAACGTTAATTACGAGTTAAAAAAATGAAAATTACGATTTTGTAAATTTCTATCGTTAATTACGATTTTGCAACTTCGTATTAGAAGATTTAATACTTGCAGTCTATGAGATAAAAATTCGTAATTTACGACATCAATCGTAATTTACCTTTGTTGGAATCATAATTTAATAAGTGGAAACTTGCAACTGTGAAGAGTGCAGTTGTAATTACACAAAATTTTCCGTGAAATTGAGTAATCTTTACATTCTTTGACGTACTTTTTACTTAAAACTCTGCAAGTTTTACGAGTTCAAAAGAAAAAACATGACCGTACCGTAAATCTTCCGGGGAAAATATAGTATCTTCTACCATAAGGCTTGAAATAAAATTTACTTGACCTTATTTTATTTTTTTACCATAGATAAAAATGATTGAAATTATTCTTTAGCCCACGATTACGTGATTAGTCTCGTACTTTTCACATGCTTTTATTTAAATTGTGATTCCATTCCAAAGTGATTCCATCGACGCTGTTTCTCAGGCCGCCGAATGATGATTTAAAATTATAAGTCTTGTTGAAAATCATTGCATTTACCAAATAAAATTCCATCAATTTGATCCTTTCGAAAAAAATTGTTACATGTAAAATTATTGAATTTAAGCCGGAATATCAAGGATAATATTTCAAAATTAAAATTTAATTATTGAGTATCCCAGAATAATGCAACAAGTGCATATTCACAGTTAATTGAGTCATAAATCATTTATTAACAATTAAATATTCACCGTAGAAACAATGAAATTTAACGAATTAGTGACTAATTGCCTAAATTAATTATGAAAAATGAATAGTACTCCGTGCACGTTGGTGAATTTACACAATATTCTCGTGAAATTTAATTGATGAATCATTCACGATTGAGAATATTCGGACAGGGGAATGTTTGTACATTGAGATTTAATTAATTTCAATTGAATGGGCAGCCGTGAGAGGATTGATTGGTAGATGGAAAATTTCAGCTGTTTTTGGGGTATTTAAATCATGCAATATTTGAAGCAGTAGAATAGTGGATATAAAGTTCCAGATGTAGTAAACCATTGATAATGGAAACAGATGAATGTAATTTAATGTGGGCGGGGGGAAGGGGGG